CATCTTAACTGCTATAAAGTCTGGACAGTTAAGATGTATCCAAAAGAAGGAGCAAAAATTAACTTTTAGCCCTGGGATATCACCAACTGCACCCAACTGTCTTAGATGCAAGCTGTCGCGTTTAAAAATGTCCTCCCACCTTAATGTCAACAGAATAGCTTGCCTGAGGTTTCGGTAGTCTTGAGTGCCAGCCTTTCCAAGAGGACTGACCAAGCTTGGGGGCGGGTTGTCTCGATGTGGAGATCGAGGGGGTAGAAAAACAAAAGGAATTTTTTTTAACAGAGAGAGAGAAGACTTAGCAGTTTTTTCCTTAGCTTTCATTCACTGAAGATGAGTACTCTTGTCACCAACAGCCTCCATGATAACATTCTCAGGGCTGATTCAAAGATACATTGTTTCTTAAAGGCTATGTGGATTAAATGCTTCTTGCAAAAAGGTTAGTGTCCTATACATACTCACATTACATGAGAAATAAGGACGAACAGGCAAACAGTCATAACGGAAACCATGCGCTGCATGCTTTCAATAGGCAAGGGATCAGATGCAGCAGTGGTTACATCTCTTAAGGGATTTTGACCAGAGATGGTATGAAAGGTAAAGTCACAGCCAGAATCAGTTGAAGGGCTCTAGGAAAGGGCTTCCAACTACTAACTGGCTGGGTTCTTGAAAACAGGCACATTCTCCACCAGTACAGTAAAATGTCTTGTGAAAACAAATCCACAGTGGAAACAGACCACTCTTATACAAAATTCTCACCAAATGGATACAGGGTTAAGTGTTGGTAAGGAGGAGGGAGCAAATAACTCATTAGGACGATTCCAATCCCCATAAATAAACAGCTGGAAAACATGATGCAAAGGGAAAGTCTTTGCAGCCATATGAGTTTTTTTTTTTTTAAACTGCAGGCTGGAGAGAGAACTGGTAGAAGCAACATGCTGACCCAGACACAGTGTTCCAAATTCCAGGCTTAGAACTGATAGCTGAAATCGAAGAGAAAAAGTTTAAGCACTGGTGTAGAGAAGAGTCTTGATAATAAAAGGTGCGATCATAAAATAGTTGTCTTCAACACAGTAGAGATGTAAAAAAAATGTTGCTCATCCTCCAAGTAAAAAAAAAACTGGGGCATGTTGGTAGCAGGAGGGTTTTTTGTAATTTTTTTTGCCAGGGTCCAGTCCTCCTATAGGCAGCAGTAAAACCTGAAGGTTAAAGATTTCCTGTGCCCCTCAAGAGCATGATAAAAATGTTACATTTGGGACTGAGTAACAGCGAACCCACCACCACCAAGGATTTTCACAAAGAATAGACTTAGGAACCAGCAGCTATGCCCTTTAGATTTCTTTATTAGTTTGCCATTAGAATTATCTATGAGTAAAAAAAAAGAATAACATTCCAGACCCCAAAATAGTAAAGTTAATATTTTTTATCATGATTTTGAAGGTTGCCAAGCTAGCACTAGCGTGTGCATAAGCTGGGAACCAGTGCAATATACAATTGTTGATGACATGTAGAACATGAGGAAAAACAAGTATTACGTCACCAATACTAAGTTATAAATCACTTGCAGTTCACTTACTGGATGCATGTTGAGTAACCAGCCCGTTTTTTTCTCCAGGCTCTCGAATCCTCTCAAAAGCATACTGAGCATCAATTTTATCCGTCCACTGACTGCGTTCCAATCTCTTGGCAGCGGAGCTCGATGAAACATCTTCTCTAAGGCACAATGATAAAGCAGTCCAAGATGTTAGAAACTATTGACGACAAACCACTCAGATGCTGCCAATCTTACACAAACACACACACACCAACCACAGATTGCTGTTAATACCATTTCACTGAATATGTTGAAATTGTTGCTTTGCCTTCTTAGTTTGTATACATACTATATAAAAGTGTTTTTTGCTACTGTTCTATATCAGATACTGCGTCTTAAATACTATGCCACGCGTTAGTGTATTAACAGCATATGAATTGAACCAATTCCAATAATATTTCCAAGTGAACGCAAGCTTTACATGTGCAGAAAATGAGAAAGCAACAATATTGAGTATTTATTGTACACTCTCCAATGCATGTATTATAACCTCTCCGTTGGCTAGTCTCTGCTGTTAGTAAATATCACAATGCTACTGTCTTACTACCTGTATTCTTGCTACTTACTACCTGTATACTTACCTTACAACATTGCACATAAGATATTTTTTAATACTCCATATGAGCTCAGAATTGTACATCCTCAAACAGCCAACAAACGCATCCTCATTATTACCAGTCACTCTCAATGCTTGGGCTGAGAATATTGCTCTAACCCCCATACAATTTTGTTCAATGTTCCATGTGAGCTCACAGAAATGTGGATTTTAAAACGATGGTCAGTCTCCACTCTCATTGGTCACCATCAATACCGCACATTACACTGATAATAAGGAGTATAAACAAGACACGTTCATACCAAGTTGGAAATTATGTTTCTTTCCCTGCGTGGCAATAAAAAGCCATCTATTTAACGTAGTTTGTCAGTTGAGAAAATGCAAAGCATGCTTTGAATGGCACTTTTGCCAAGCAACCGACCTCCTGGGTTTGGGATGCAACAGGGCAGACACACAAAAAAGACTGACACTGTACTAATGGCACTGGGCAGGAAGAGGTTAACATGAAGGGCAATCAAAGGGTTAACTGTGTGCAGGGAGTGTTTTACTAGGGGACAGTGTCTGTGTGCTTCACTGTAATCACACTACTCCGGATGGCTGTGCATGGGATATAGTGTTTACGTATAGTGTTTACGTTCTCTCTCGTGTTCTCTCTCGCTCCTTCTCAACGAATAGCAGAAAAAAATTAACTATTCTGAACTCCATTGAACATCTTGAGGTCCCTGTGGATCTATTCTCTCCATGCAAGTCTCATTCATATGGTTACATCATTACATTGTTTTTAGTATCTACATTCTCATCCATATTAGGTATAACTGTTGTAAACTTAATGAAATGAATGTATCATGTTAATATCCGATATACTGGTCATGATATTTTGTTTTACAATTTCAGAGGCTGTTACTTCATATTTTCAATGAAGCTGGCCTTGACTCGTGAAACATGTTGGAGGAAGTAATTAATATTGTAATCCAATACATCAAGTTAAAACTTCTATTTGAGGTTACTTATGAGAAAGCAGTTATACACTCTGTTTTTGATGAGCATAATTTTTGATCTGTCTCATTCTAAACGTTTCTGTACTAATGAAACAAGATATTTTTACATACATGGAACTGTTGTACAGCTAAAAGTCCTAGATTCCTTTTTGTTAGGGTTGGCTTGTTTGGATATTCTTGAATAAGGATGTAGGTACTAGACTACTTATATTTTATATTGCCATAGATCCCGTTATCAGAGACCTTTCTTCTTTTACTTATCTGTAGAGATAACGTCAAGGGCCATAGGTCAGGCCAGGGATCATAGGTCCGGTCAAGGGTGGGCAGAGTCATACAAGTAGTGTGCTTACAGTGAAAAAAAATAAAAAACAAATTGCAGTATACCGCCCTTTGTAAATGCTATACCTTTTACGAAAACAATTTACACATATTGGAATTTTTTTTTAGTAAAGACATGCAGAATACATTTTGGCTTAAATTTATGACGAAATTAATTTTTTTTATTGAACACGTTATATAGCAAAGTAAAAAATATTGTTTTTTCTCAAAATTTATTTTTTTTCTTTGTATATAGTGCAAAAAAAAATAAATGCAAAGGCGATCAAATACCACCGAACAAAATCTCTATTGGTGGGGGAAAAAAGACATACAATTCATTTGTGTGTGGTGTTGCATGACTGCGCAATTGTCAAAATAACACAAAAATTGGCCTGGTCAGCAAGGTGGGTAAATCCTCTGGAGGAACAGTGGTTAAAGAGATACAATCAGATTGCACCATGCGTGGTGAACCATATAACACGGATCATTTATTACAGGTACTTATATAGCGCTGTCAATTTACACAGCACTTTACATATATATTGTAGATTCACATCAGTCCCTAACCCTCAAGGGGTGCACAGTCTAAGGTCCCTAACTTACATTCATACATACACATACTAGGGCCAATTTAGACAGGATCCAATTAACCTACCAGCATGTCTTTGGAGTGTGGGAGGAAACCGGAGTGCCCGGAGGAAACCCACACGGGCACAGGGAGAACATGCAAACTCCAGGCAGGTGGTGCCATGGTTGGGATTTGAACCAACGACCCTAGTACTGCCAGACGGAAGTGCTAACCATTTCGCCACTGCGCTGCCCCAACTACCATATCCTCCCCTCACACAGAGCCCTGCTCATTCGGGAAGGGACAGAACCCCGCCACTTCACAATTCCAGAGACTGTGTCTATGAGAAAGGCTCCGTGTCCCATCCTACTCCCCTCCATGGACATAATACGATATGTGTACGTACTGCTGAGTGTCCCCGTCCCCCCGGGGCTCCGCTCGGAATTTCCCGCTGTTCTGCAGCACCATCCTCAACACAATCCTCTTCCCGCGCCACCAAACTCCCGCCAGCACTTCTTCCCACCCCACCCACTGCTGACTACCAATCACTTCCACTCAGCGTTACACCAAGCAGCCAATCGTGGTAGACAGTGTCCGCCCCGAACCCGCTTATCGCGATGTTTTCTGCATTGCCATCTCTTTAACTGACTTGACCATGCCACTGTTCTCTAACCAATCAGCTCCTCCCTACTTAGGGATCGTCATCAAAGCGCAGGACTGTGAAAATGTGGAAAACTCCAGGCGAAGCTTTCTGAATAGCCATGTGTGAGATATCCTATGTGTGCACATCAGGGCGGGGACTGAATGAACCTCGGACTGTGTAATACACGGGTTCCTGCAGAAAAAGAGCAGAATGACAGTAGAAGTGGGCGGGGAGATGTATGGGGGGCACGGCTTGTATGGGAGGAGCCTAGGTCTGTCTGCCATCCTCCCCTTTCACTAGAGCGGCAGCAGGTGTGAAGAGCAGGTATGCCAACCGCTTCTAAGCCGATCCGGGAGCTGGCCGATGTGCCCATACACACACTGCTACTGAGGACCTACCTGCAGCTCCTGCACAGCCGGCCTGTCCTCACTAAGGCACTGACCAGGTAAGCTGACACTCCCATATGGCATGCTGGGACTATTGGTTCTACTGCTTACATAGAAGGGGTAGCCATACACATCAATAAATGATCAATTTATTTTCTGGTCGTTCTCTTTCAGTAGGATCAATCTTTTAACACTAGCCTACAGGGCACTTACACTCCCTTCCTGCCCAGGCCAATTTTCAGCTTTCAGCGCTGTAGCACTTTGAATGACAATTGTGCGGTCATGCAACACTGTACCCATATGACATTTTTATCATTTTTTCACACAAATAGAGCTTTCTTTTGGTGGTATTTACTCGCCACTGGGTGTTTTTATTTTTTTACACTATAAAAAAAAAATTTGAAAAAAAAAGTTTTTCTTTGTTTCTATTATAACATTTTGCAAACAGGTAATTTTTCTCATTCACTGATGTGCGTTGATGAGGCTGCACTGATAAGCAGCACTGATGGGCACTGATTTGTTTCTTCATTGGAGTATTCACTATTCTCTATTTCTTTTTTATGATGTTTCCTTTCTCTTCCAATCACGCTGGTCCTCATTGATTATAACACACATTTTTATTAGCGCTGTACGTTGATATTATAGTGTTTTGTTTTGGTGGAGACAGAGGGTTTGCCCTGTTGTGCTAGCTGCTTTACTTTTTCCTTTTTTGTCTTGCGCTCACCATTTATTCTTTGATTATACATTGGCACTGATAGGTAGCATTGATGGGTGCTGAGGAGGTGGCACTGGGGGGCATTGATGAGGAGGCACTGATATGCAGTAATCTTGGGCACTGCTGGGCGGCACTGATAATCAGTGCAGATCTCCCCTGTCACATTTGTCGGTTATCGTGTGACAGCGTGAGGAAAGTGCTGCCGATAACCGGCAACTGTATTTACATTGTGATCTGCTGTGTTATTGGACGTGGTAAAAGGCCTTTTACCTCATCACATGATCAGCTGTGTCCATAGGACACAACGATCACTGACAGCGCTAGGGGGGGCGCGTTCTGGGAAGATGTTGGTGGATGCCCTCCCAGAACTGGACAACCGCACTGTAGCCATCTTTTGGTTATAGTGCGGTTGGGAAGCGGTTAATACTCACCAACCAATTCCATCAAAATGATACACACGGGGAGGTGGATTTTGATCAATAGTTAAAGTGGAACTTTAGGCTTCACAATGAAAATGGGCAAACAGGCATGATTTTTAATGCGAAAGAGACTTGTTTTATTTCTTCTGCCTTAAAACTACTTACCGGCCTGTCCGCCCCTGTATAGTAAGCTGCTCAGATTTGGCAGTGCCGAATCTGATGGAACTCTCACGCATGCACCAGAGTGGTGTCATCCCAGCCAAGCCAACGACAGCGGCCAGTGATCAAGACCCGGAAGCCAGCTGCCCAAAGATGAAAGTGGTCGGTGGCAAGCTCAGGGGGTGGCACAATTCTGGGTTCTAGGTGAGTATAGTTGCACTTTAAGGTACGACTGTAATTTACAATCCTAAAGGTATCAATCATACCTCTGTGTCCACTCATGATCTTGTTCATCAAAGTATGATCATAGTCATGAGTAAAAACGTCTCCGTACTGCTAATCAGTGCAAAATAATCGATCATTTTCTGCTCTGATCTAAAATGATACTAAGGGAAATGATTGCTATTCATTTGTTGGTGGATTTGATTGTTTTTGATCGTCCTGTATCGATCAGGGTAAGAAAATAAAAGTGTGGGGACACCATTAGGATTCAGGATTAGGCTGAAGGCTTTTTACATTCATGCATTCTCGCCCCTCAGCCCCCCTATACTTACCTTAGCCCTATCTCAAACCAGCGATGTGCACGGGAGCATCAGCTCTCCTTGGTCTTTCCCTCCTCATTGGCTCAGACACAGAAGCAGGAGCCATTGGCTGTCAATCACAGCCAATAAGAAGGGGGCGAGGCCAATCCATGCTCTTGTGTGTCTTATGGACATACAGAGCCAGTTTGGGAGTGAGCACAAACAAGTGCTCCCAGAGCAAGCAGCTTGCTCTGGGGGCACTCTGCAAGAGGGAGGGGCAAGGAGTGTGAGCAGGGCACCCGCAAAGAGGAGCAGCAGAGATGGTCTGTGCAAAACCATTGCACAGAGCAGGTAAGTATGATATGTTTGTTATTTTAAAGAAAAACATGTTGTACCTTTTTATAATCACTTTAAGTCATAAGACATGGGTTCATGGTCACTGACATGGTGTCAGTGAAGTATTTAATTGCAAAATCTCCCTTCAGCTGGGAAAAAACAGGCATTCAGGACTCAGCATTATTGCCTCTTGAACAAGGCAAACAGCCTCTGAAAAGTGATCCGCCTCAGATTGCTTTTGAGAGGGGTGGCAGGAACTGCTGTCCATGTGAAGGAGGCCTAACTGTTTCTAATTTCATAAACCAGCATAGTATATAATTAACTGTAACGTTTTCAAGGAAAATGTCTTGTTTGTGACATTGTTATTCTTCTGCGGGATTTTAATTAATGATTGACTGTGAAATAACTTGTTTTTACAGTGGAATTCTGTCTGCTTTGGGTAACCTGCTTTCACAGAACATAGAGCAGAGGCGCAAAAGTAAATCTTCAGCTAGAAATGTGGACCTGGTCGCACTTCTTCGTTTTGCTGCCTATGGGTGAGCCTGCCAGACTGGTGTACTAGGGAGTAATACATTATTGATTTCCTGAATAAAAGTATTCCATTGCTGCCATTCAAGCCAGCTTTCACTTGCTATATGGCATTGAATCACCAAAACACCAACTGATAATGATTTTGTAGTTTACCCCATATTATCACAACATTTTACATAAATGTAAAACGGACTGCTACACAGAGGTTACAAGCTATAGCTTCTTATCTTGGTTGTAGTAGGACCTATCTCATATTCACGCCATTCTTCTTTTTTATTTGTTCCACATCATTAAAACCTTTCATTGGGTTCAATGATGTGGTCTATAAGAATAGAGTTAAAAAGAAATGGTGTAAATTTTGATCATTATCATTCTGAATGCCTAGGCTTTGTTCTTCGACTTACAGGATTTATGTATAAAAACTACAGCCATATCTTCAATAGTCTACAGTGTGTATATACAGTGGGGAAAATAATTATTTGATCCCCTGCAGATCTTGTAAGTTTGCCCACTTACAAAGAAACGAAGGGCCTATAATTTTTATCATAGGTGTATTTTAGATGTTCATTGGCAAACTTCAGGTATCAACCAAAAATCCAGAAAAAACACATGAAACAAATGTTATAAATTGAGTTGTAGTTCAGTGAGTAAAATAAGTATTTGATCCCCAAGCAAAATATGACTTCGTACTTGGTGCAGACACCCTTGTTGGCAAGCACAGAGGTAGGATGTTTCTTGTAGTTGGTTACCAGGTTTGCACACATCTCAGGAGGGATTTTGGTCCAATGTTCTCTACATATCTTCTCTAAATCCTTAATGTTTCTTGGCTGTCACATAGTAACTTGAAGTTTCAGCTCCCTCCATAAATTTTCTATAGGATTAAGGTCTGGAGACTGGCTAGGCCACTCCATGACCTTAATTTGCTTCTTCTTGAGCCACTCTTCTGTTGCCATGGCGGTATGTTTTGTGTCATTGTCATGCTGGAAGACCCATCTATGACCCATCTTCAGTGTTCTGGTTTAGGGAAGAAGGTTCTCATCCAAGATTTTACAATACATGGCCCTGTCCATTGGCCCCTCGATGTGACAAAGTCATCCTGTACCTTTAGCAGAGAAACAGCCCCAAAGCATAGTGTTTCCATCTCCATGCTGGACTGTAGAGATGGTGTTTTTCTGTTCATAGTCAGCATTTTTCCTGCTCCAAACACAGAGTGAGTCGAGTTAATACTAAAGAGCTCAATTTTGGTCTCAACTGACCACAGCACTTTCTTCCAATCCTTCTCTGAATCATTTAGATGTTAATTGGCAAACTTCAGATGGGCCTTCTTGAGGAGGGGGACCTTGCAGGTGCTGCAGGATTTCAGTCCATGGCGGCGTATTGTGTTACCAATTGTTTGTTTGGTGACTGTGGTCCTAACTGCCTTGAGATAATTCACAAGCTCCTCCCGTGTAGTTCTGTACTGATCCCTCACTTTTCATCGAGTTCCAGACCGAGGGTGATTGATTGTATTTCTTCCATTTGCGAATAATCGCTCCAGCAGTTGTCTCCTCACCAAGCTTCTTGTTGATGGTCTTGTAGCTCATTCCAGCCTTTGTGCAGGTGTACAGTCTTGTCATTGATGTCCTTTGACATCTCCTTGGTCTTGCCCATGATGGTGAGGTTTGAATGGAAGAAAGAGATTCTGTGGACAGGTGTCTTTTTATACACATAACGAGTTGTTGTTAGGAGCACCCTCTTAAAGTGACAGAACTAATCTGTGTAGCACATGAGCACATAGCCAGTCTGTGGGAGCCAGAATTATTGTTGGTTGGTAGGGGATCAAATACTTACAAATTGAGTTGCAGTTCAGTGAGTAAAATAACATATGTATCGTGTTTTTTCTGGATTTTTGGTTGATATTCTGTCTCTATCATTTAAAATACACCTATGATAAAAATTATAGACCCTCCATTTCATTAAATTTAAAAAAATTAAAAATCAAATTTCGTCATAAATGTACGCCAAAATGTATTCTGCTACATGTCTTTGCTAAAAAAAAAATCCCAATACGTGTAAATTAATTGGTTTACGTGAAAGCTCTAGCGTTTACAAATGGCAGTATATATACTGGGTTTTTTTGTTTTTTCTTATAATTTTTAATAGTAATGGCGGCGATCAGCGACTTATAGTGGGACTGCGGCGGACATTCTGACACTGGGGGGAACTGACTTGGTGTCACTGACATCCCCAGTGACACCTATACAGTAATCAGTGCTAAAAAAAACAAAGCACTGACACAGTACTGTGGCAATCAAAGGGTTAACTGTGTGCAGGGAGTGTTTCACTAGGGGGCGGTGTCTGTTTGCTTCACTGTAATCACACTGCTTTGGATGGCTGTGCTGTGCACAGCCATCCAGAGCAGTGTGCCCGAGCTGACAGGGAGGAGAAATGTTCATAAACAAAACCGTTCTCCCCGTGGGAGATCTTCAGAAATCACTGGGTGCTGGCGAGTAATTACTGGCTGGGACCCAGTGATTGACAACCACGTATGGCGACGTGGGTAGGGGTCGTGCATGCCCCCTACCCAGAAATGCAAAATCACGTGTATATTCTGCTATAGGAAGGTTGGGAAGCTCTTAAAACAATTTGTACCTGCTAATTCCAGGTCTTTCTGAAGTTCTTCACAAGTGGTCCTTAGCTCTTGGACAACTCTTCTGATAATTCTTTTCACTGCTCCATTTTATTACATATAACTTTAATTTCTGAATTTGTTTTGGATTTTTTTTGTATGTATGGATTGCATGGGTTGTTACAGACATGTAGCGAAAATTTCATGTCAATAGCACCTTTAGAAATATATTTACCTAGAAAAATAGTGGCGTGTTCAATACTTATTTTATCCACTCTGTGTGTGTATGTATGTGTATATATATATATTATACAATCTGGCAGACCCTTTTCAAGGAATATTTGATGGTTGTATGTTTGCAAGCCCTGCAACTGAAATCCTGCCCAGGCACTGTAACACTTTTTAAAACCCAACTCAAATTCTGTTTTGTGGATAGAGTAGGGGAATTCTCGCCAATGGTGATACGGATAAAAAAAAAAAAAAAAAATTGGTAACGTGAGAAAGGGTTGAAAAATTCTCATCTTTTGTTTTTTTTTGTTGTTTTTTGCTATCCATCCCTACCTATGCTGGAGATGCCTGCCTTCCCTTTTTTCTTTTATGAACATTATGGGGACTGGAAGTGAGAAAAGAAAATGTCTGTAACAGGGTCATAAACAAAATATATAAGTTGACAGAAATTTTAACTCTCACCCTCTCTATCAAAAACTAAAGGAAAAAGGTATTCGGTTTTGAAGCAGCGACTCTGGTTTACTCATCATTCTTCCAATAGTTTTAACTTTAAACAGAGGCAAATTTTAAAGTTGAATTCCAGGTATAAAAGTTTATAACTTAATTATGTTAGTCCAGCTTGGACCAATGTAAGTATGTATGTTCCATACCTGGCCGATAACTGTGGAGTGAAGAATCACTGTAGTAGTAATTGCCACTGCTGCAGTGATCCTCACTGTCCTTTGGATCTAGTACCAAGCGGCTGCCCTGCCGCATAGTGAACATTGGGGGTCGTTCTGTCGGTACAGGTGCCATTCAGAGAATGCTTTGTACTTTTTTTCTCAATGAATACAAGATGATCTGTGACTGGGCAAGGTGGAGATCCATCCATCTCCTCCAGTCAGAGAATGCTTTGCATTCATTGAGTGAGAACAATGCAGGGAGGGCCAACACCCCTGACTGTCAGGGATCGCGGCGGCAAGTGGTTCTGCGCATGCGCAGAACGCCAATTCATTCTAGCCGGCGGGCACTAGGACCTGGGCGCTGGCGGACGCTCGCCTGGCACCAATGACAGGGCAGGGCGCACTATTTAAACCTGCCCTGCACAGACTCTCATTGCCATATGGTCTATTATCCTGTGTTCCTGTTCCTGTGTATTGCTGTTTGACTTGTTGCTGACCCTGCCTGATCCTGACCTCTGCTGACTTCTCCTGCTCTGACCCCTGGCTTGTTTGACTACTCTTTTGGATTCCCTTATTTGATCTGAACTTCTGTTACTCACCCAGCGAGTGACCCGACTACCCTGTGCCTGCTGCCTTGTACCGCACTGTCCCCACGGTTACCAACCCGGCCTGTCTGACCACGCTTCTACTCTGCCATCCATCCTGCACGGATCTATCCGCCTCTTCACGTCAGGCTCTTCTCCAGTATATTCCTCTGGCGGATCCCTCTACCATGGGTGGGTGTACTCAGGGGCCGTGACCTGGTCACTGTCTGCTCCAAGTCCATCCCCACCATCAGGGGCCCTGGTGAACAAGCAGACTGGGACGTAGACTCCGCTCTCTGGGGAATCCTATCCTGTGGGTCGCTAGAGGTACCGCCAGGCGGTGCATTACACTGACCTATGCAGCTATTACAGGAATTCTCTACTTCTACAGAGATCAGCCAGTATAGAACTTGCATATTTACATTAATCCAAACTCCACTAATGTAACTATGAAAAAATCAATCCACAGAAATATTTGGGATGCCTTTGCTGATCTCCGTTTGAAAATGCTAGTTCTTTGACTCTTACTTCAGAATCATTTTGCCACTTTGCTTTCTTAATAGTGCAGGGTGTCTAAATTTTTATTTTGGGACTTACTGTAAAGCAAAGCTGAAATACTCCCTCCTTGTTTTCCTTTAAAAAAAAAAGTATAATTTAAAAAACACCTATGATAAAAAATTATAGGCCCTCCATTCCTTTCTAAGTGGGCAAGCTTACAAAATCTGCAGAGGATCAAACAATTATTTGTGTGTGTGTGTTGTTCATTTATTTACTTACAGGTCGTTTTTGTTCATGGCATCAAAGGTACTACTCTGCAGATACAAGTTCAAATTACAACAGAGAAAGAAAGAAAAGTGTATTTTATCTGGGCACTCAACATTGTCTTTTACCTATTTAACAGCCCGTGTACATTCACATGGGTGATTAGGGAAGGACAGTGCGGCAAGAATCAATGTATTCCTGTAGCAGGCATCGGAGGTGTATTGAACACAGCTGTGGCTGTGAAGCCTGTACAGCGCAATGACTGGATAAAAGGAGCTGTGGCTGATCTGCCGCTGTTTACATACATCCAGCAGTTACCTGTGGTTAGGCACAGATGAGTGACTCTGTGTGCACAAAGATTGCATCCCAGGCTGATCATCTTTCTTTGCCTGCAGTAAATACATGTAGACATAGATCTTGTCAGCCTGTCTGTGCTTTGTACAGGATTCCTGGGTGAAGGTGTGATTCCTACCAAAGGATCGCCCGTGTGACTATAGCCTAAGTCTGGGCTACAAGTAGAAATGTAATTCATTCTCCATAAGAAATGTAACTCCTTTAGTTGCTTCGTTTTCAGTACACTGCTTTCTGGCCATACATGGTTTGAAATTCGGCTGTTTCAGCAGAGACCAGCCGAATTTCAATCCATGTGTGGGGAGGGTGGTTTGTCTAATCATCGACTTCTGTACAACCTCTCTTTGGATTTTTGCCACTCAATTAGCACTGTAGCTGGCAGCACTGATCAGTGTATTCTGAAGTCTTCCCGCTGTCAGAATACAGTAGCTCAGTAGGGAGGATTCCTGTATCCACCTTCAAAGTGTGGATGGGGGATTCGGGTCATTTTGGGGTTTTTTTCGTCCAACCAGTTGGTTGAAAGAAAAACAATGACTCATGTATGGGCTGCTCAAAACAGCTGTACACAATATCTTGATAACAGGCCATTAAAATTGAAAAGATAGCTGACCACAGTTGACGTCTTTTCTTAAATTCCAGTTCACTTATGTTTTTTGATTTTATAAAATTTGTATGACCCGCATCATATAAATTACACATAGTGGCAATGACTAGATTAAAGCTATAGTCACGCTTGAGCATAAACTGTATAGAGGGAATTCAAGTGCTGCAGTAAGTAGTAAGAGTTGTGAGAAGAGTTGAGGAGAGCATGTATTGCTGATTGGAGAACTGTAGATCTGAAAGCAGGGGGCATGTTGCAGTGGTCCAGCTCTGCAGTGTGCTGCCAGGGAGGGCTTTTTTGCTAGGACTGGGTGAAGATTTATCGACGACAAAAAAAAAAAAAAGAGGTGGAACATCCAACTATTATTATATTGCTGCATCCAGATGTTTATAGTCTGGGCTGAAGCTTCAATTGGGATTTAAGGATTATAACAAGTCTACATGTGTTTCTCCTAGATTGTTTTTCACAGGTCCTCTATCTCACTACTTCTACCTGTTCCTGGAAAAAGTGGTCCCCTCATCTGCACCAATGGCAGGTCTTCGCCGCCTACTGTTGGAACGTCTAATAATCGCTCCAGCCTTTTTATTTCTGTTTTTCATTGTGATGAACTTCCTGGAAGTGAGTGCCTCTTGCTCTTTTACAAGCCTCTGATTTTGTGAAATAAACTCAAAATGTGTTTTTTTTTTTTTTTGTTTAGGCATATTTAAAAATACTTAATTTTTTTTTATTATTTCAATATGTTTATAGATCTATTCTTTTCAAATGCAAAACTCTGATCTGGGAAAAAGAAAATTTTGTACAAAGTTTGTACATTGCAATTAAGATTTCCCAGAAATTTCATCTTTATAGAAGTATAAAAACTGTACGATATTAAAAGAGAAGAGCGGAAGTCAAAAATAAACTATCGTACTCCCCTAGATGGCTGCAGCACAGATCCCAGCTGTAGCTGTCCCCTGCCGGCTCTACGCCAAGAACTAAGTGATCATAGACTGCTGATCACTCAGTTCCCAGTCTTCAGTTAGCAGAGAGACAATGACTGTCGGTTCTCTTCTCTACACCTCCAATGTTCACTGGAGTGCTGGGCTGTGGAAGGGGTGGGAGCACTTGCTGCCTAAGACTCTTCGAGGCTGAGCCAGTTGCCGGTCAGGCATCTGGGTGGATCCCGACATTAAAGTTAGGATCTCTCCAGAGCCTGGGCTGGCTGAGTGATGTCAGCCAACAGTGAACTCTAGCCTGCAGTCAGCTGAAAATGGATCACAAAAGTACAGAACTAAGTGCACTCCTGTGACCCACAGAAGTAGGGCTAAAATAGCTTTTGCCCTACTTCTCCTTTAACACTTTTACTGTGCTATCCTAGGGAAGGTCGTTTTAATATCTTGTCTGTTATATAATCCCAGTTCTCTTTATGCTAATTCCTCCCTGCTCCACTTACAGATAAACTAATAAAAAAAAAAAGTATCAAATAAACCTTTTTTGACAAGTTAGTCATTTCAAAATAAAGTGCAAAAGAGACAGGAGAAAAAAGTAGGGAATAAGTAGAAGAAAAGAAGTGGAGATAATATAAAAAAGGAACACTAACCCGAGGTCTCATTGGTTGTGTAGATGTCGTTGATGTCATATCCAGGACCCCACATTTTATCAAATTTAGTTTGATTGTTAAGTTTACATTTGGGTTTATCATTAATCATAATCCAACTTTAAGTGTTCCTAAACCCAGGACACTAAATTCACTATATCTCATCTCCCACATTATACACAACATGGAAATGCAATTTTTTTAGTAAATATAAACTGCTAAATACTCATCAGCAGTATATAGCAGTCCTGTGACTTTGATCAGTGTCCAGCTGAGCACTGGTTAATCTTGTAGGAGGAGTTTTCATTCTGCTCTGACTGCCCTATGAGGCTGCATAACCCCTGATCCTCTGTATGTACAGTGCTGATTGCCCCCTGCTGATCACTGGCACCCTCCCCCCCCCAAAAAAAAAAAAACCCTCTCTAGCAATACACACCTGAGCATGTGCAGAGTGACTCCTAGAGCTCTGTACTATCAGTACATGGATTGGGGACAGTAGAAGAAGGGGGAGGATCAGAGAAGACAGGATCAAACAGCCACAGTAATGAAAAGACACTAACGACTGTTTCTCCTTGTGATTGCAGTGCTTGCCGCAAAAGTAATACTATTTTGTACTTTTATTTTAAATGTCTCTCATATTGGAATAAAAGCAAGCCTCGGATGGGTGGCAGTAGGTTCAATAAAAAAAATGTTGGGTTTTCTGGTGCTAAAAATGCACTCATGTGAGCGATGAGCTTTATATATTAAAAAAAAAAATGAAGGACTAACACTGGAGACTACAGTCTTCCATATACAGGTGAAACTCGAAAAATTAGAATATCGTGCAAAAGTTCATTTATTTCAGTAATGCAACTTAAAAGGTGAAACTAATCTATGAGATAGACTCATGACATGCAAAGCAAGATAGTTCAAGCTGTGATTTGTCATAATTGTGATGATTATGGCTTACAGCTCATGAAAACCCCAAATCCACAATCTCAGAAACTTAGAATATTACATGCAATCAATAAACACAAGGATTGTACATAGAACAATATCGGACCTCTGAAAAGTATAAGCATGCATATGTACTCAGTACTTGGTTTGGGCCCCTTTTGCAGCAATTACTGCCTCAATGCGGTGTGGCATGGATGCTATCAGCCTGTGGCACTGCTGAGGTGTTATAGAAGACTAGGATGCTTCAATAGCGGCCTTCAGCTATTCTGCATTGTTCCGTCTCATGTCTCTCATCTTTCTCTTGGCAATGCCTCATAGATTCTCTATGGAGTTCAGGTCAGGCGAGTTTGCTGGCCAATCAAGCACAGTAATCCCACGGTCATTGAACCAGGTTTTGGTGCTTTTGGCAGTGTGGGCAGGTGCCACGTCCTGCTGGAAAATGAAGTCCGCATCCCCATAAAGCTCATCTGCGGAAGGAAGCATGAAGTGCTCCAAAATCTCCTGGTAGACGACTGCATTGGCCCTGGACTTAATGAAGCACAGTGGACCAACACCAGCAGATGACATGGCTCCCCAAATCAACACAGACTGTGGAAACTTCACACTGGACTTCAAGCATCTTGCAGTGTGTGCCTCTCGATTCTTCATCCATACTCTGGGTCCTTGGTTTCCAAATGAGATGCAAAAGTTGCTCTCATCAGAAAAGAGGACTTTGGACCACTGAGCAACAGACCAGGTCTGTTTTTTCTTTAGCCCAGGTAAGACGCTTCTGATGTTGTTTGTTGTTCAGGAGCGGCTTGACAAGAGGAATACGACATTTGAAGCCCATGTCTAGGATCCGTCTGTGTGTGTGGTGGCTCTTGATGCACTGACTCCAGCCTCAGTCCACTCCTTGTGAAAGTCCCCAACACTTTTGAATGGCCTTTTCCTGACAATACTCTCCAGGCAGCGGTCATCCCTGCTGCTTGTGCACCTTTTTCTTCCACACTTTTCCCTTCCACATAACTTTCTATTAATGTGCTTTGATATAGCACTTTGGGAACATCCAACTTCTTTTGAGGCTTTCCCTCCTTATGGAGGGTGTCAATGATGGTTTTCTGCACAACTGTCAGGTCAGCAGTCTTTCCTATGATTGCGATTCCTACTGAACCAGACTGAGAGACCATTTAAAGGCTCAGGAACCCTTTGCAGGTGTTATGGCTTAATTAGCTGATTAGAATGAGACACTTTGAGCCTACAATATTGCACCTTTTCACAATATTCTAATTTTCTGTGATTGTGGATTTGGGATTTTCATGAGCTGTAAGCCATAATCATCACAATTATGACAAATCATGGCTTGAACTATCTTGCTTTGCATGTAATGAGTCTATCTGCTATATTAGTTTCACCTTTTAAGTTGCATTACTAAAATAAATGAACTTTTGCACGATATTCTAATTTTTCGAGTTTCACCTGTATCTACTATATGCAGTCAGAATCCAGTTATTTTTTCATAGCTATACATACTTGCTTTAAAGAAAAGCCTAACTATTTTTAAAAATGTTCCCTCTCCTTCCACCTATCTATCCTGCATACCCTGTATAAAAAAAGATCTGTGTATTACCTATTTCAATCCAGGCTGGTTATGTGATACTGCAGCTCCGCTTTCCTGTGTCAGTAAGCAGCTGCTGCAGGGGAGAGGAGGGAGTGCAGACTCCTGAAATTTACAGCTGTTGTCAAGTGCTCCCTTACACAGAGCTACAGCATAATGTGACTTCATGTGACTAGAGCAGATTGAAAATGGGTAAGTTCATACATCTTTTTTTTTATACAGGTTAGTTAGGGGAAAAGGGGGGCAGCATTTTTAAGAACTGTTGTATATTTATTTATTTCAGGTATTTATATAGCTCCATCAATTTACGCAACTCTTTACATACACATATTGTACATTCACATCAGTCCCTAACCCTCAAGGGGCGTACAATCTAAGCTCCCTAACTCACATTCATACATACACATACTAGGGCCAATTTAGAAAGGATCCAATTAACCTACCAGCATGTCTTTGGAGTGTTGGAGGAAAACGGAGTACCCGGAGGAAACCCACGCAGGCACAGGGAGAACATGCAACTCCAGGCAGGTGGTGCCATGGTTGGAATTCAAACTAACGTCCCTAGTACTGCCAGGCGGAAGTGCTAACCATTTAGCCGCTGTGCTGTAAAGTTAGGGTTTGTTTTCACTTTAATAGCCAGAAATAATTCTTTTATAAAAAATGTTTATATTTTTTTATCATGTATTCTTTAAAAGGTTTTCTTGTTCTACTTTTTCAGTGGTTTAAAGGTTTTACAATATCAGATAGGAATTAAGCCTGGTCTCTACATTTAAATACTGATTGTGTTTGTTAAAGGTGAAAGCACTTTATTGACATAACTTTTTAATCAGGACTTAAACCAAGACCATCTGTGCTGTTTCCATTCTGTCCTTTAGGGCAAAGACCTGAACTCTCTTAATAAGAAACTGAAGGACAGTTACTGGTCAGCTCTGAAAATGAACTGGAAGGTCTGGACACCTTTTCAATTCATCAATGTGAACTACATTCCTGTAGAGGTAAGCACAATCTGCTACGAAACACTTCTCAAGTATTTTGTTAGCCCCCTTATAATAGCAATAAAGTTACATGAAATTGTGTGATATAACTCAACAAAAATCGTGAAAAAAAGTTCAAAAACACCTCTGTCACTCTTTGTACATGGATAAAAAAATGTGTAAATAAAAGGATTGCACAACACATACAGTGAAGGAAATAAGTATTTGATCCCCTGCTGATTTTGCCCACTCACAAAGAAATGATCAGTCTAAAAATCGAATGGTAGGTGTATTGTAACACTGAGAGACAGAATAGCAACAAAAAATTCAAAAGAAATACATGTCTAACAAATTATGCACTGATTTGCATGTTCATGAGGGAAATAGGTATTTGATCCTCTTCACAAAACATGACTTAGTACTTGTTGGCAAATCCCTTGTTGGCAATCACAGAGATCAGACATTTCCTGTAGTTGGCCACCAAGTTTGCACACCATCTCAGGAGGGATTTTGGCCCACTCCTCTTGGCAGATCCTCTCCAAGTCATTAAGGTTTGGTGGCTGACATTTGGCATTTTGAACTTTCAGCTCCCTCCACATATTTTCAATCGGATTAAGGTCTGGAGACAGGCTAGGCCACTCCAGGACCTTAATGTGCTTCTTCTTGAGCCACTCCTTTGTTGCCTTGGTCACGTGTTTTGGGTCATTGTCATGCTGGAACACCTATCCACGACCCATTTTCAATGCCCTGGCTGAGAGAGGAAGGTTCTCACCCAAAAATTGATGGTACATTGCCTGTCCATTGTCCCTTTGATGCAGTGCAGTTGTCCTGTCCCCTTAGCAGAAAACACCCCCAAAGCAGAATGTTTCCACTACCATGTTTGACAGTTGGGATGGTGTTCTTGGGGTCATAGGCAGCATTCCTCCTCCTCCAAACACGGCAAGTTGAGTTGATGCCAAAGAGCTCGATTTTGGTCTCATCTGACCACAACACTTTCAACTAGTCCTCCTCTGCATCATTCAGATGTTCAGTGGCAAACTTCAGACAGGCCTGGACATGTGCTTTCTTGAGCAGAGGGACCTTCACTGCAAGATTTCAATCCTTGTTGGCGTAGTGTGTTACCAATTGTTTTTTTGGTGACTGTGGTCCCAGCTGCCTGAAGATCATTGACAAGATCCTCAAGTGTAGTTCTGGGTTGATTCCTCACTGTTTTCATGATCATTGACACTCCATGAGGTGAGGTCTTGCATGGTGCACCAGACCTAGGGAGACTGACAGTTGTTTTGTGTTTCTTCCATTTGCAAATGATTGCACCAACTGTTGTCACCTTCTCACCAAGCTGCTTGGCGATAGTTTGGTAGCCCAGTCCAGACTTGTGTAGGTCTACAATCTTGTCCCTGACATCCTTGCACAGCTCTTTGATCTTTGCCATGGTGGAGAGTTTGGAATCTGATTGTTTGATTGCTCCTGTGAGATTAGCAGCACTCCCTTTAAGAGACTGCTTCTAACCTCAGCTTGTTACCTGTATGAAAGACACCTGGTAGCCAGAAATCCTGCTGAATGATAGGGGATCAAATATTTTTTACATGCTTCCATTCACATAACATTTAAATAACCTCGAACCCCTCGTGTATTGTATTGTTTCTGTCTTGTCTCATGTTCTGTCCCCCTTGCTATTGTACAGCACTGAGCAAATCCTTTGGCGCTATATAAATACTGTATAATAATAATAATACGATACTTACCTTTTTTTTTTCTTTAAAAATCCTACCTACTTTTCCCCTTGTATGGATGGGTATACACTGATAGATTAGATTTTAAAAAAAAGAAAAAAAAAATATCTAACAGATTTATCCATCCTACTAAACACTAAACAGCCTGGATAAACAAATCCATTCCTCATGGACTATTGTATTCTGACAGCCAATGGATTCTGATTGGATGCAGCTGGTTAGTCAGCAATTTTCTGCCTAGCTCCTTTTGATAATTTTTATTTTTTTTTTTTTTTTTTTATATGTTTATTTATATTAGTCAAAGGATGTCAGATGGAAGGGGGCTGATAGGGCCATCCACGTAATTCTTAAGGAATCGAACAAAATTTGCACAGTGTATGGTCAGATTATATAATGTTAAGCAGGAGGCTGGGGAGTTAAGTCCCTGTCTGTACTGTCAGATCTCAATATCAGTTGTAAACTAAATTTAAACCGTATCTGTCCTAACAAAGGGTTAAAGATCTCAAGGCTTGGGTGGTAAATTATATGTTAATTCACTTTCCCCAATTTTGCCCCTCTCATTGCACTTTGAAATTGTTCAGAATAGCTTGTGGTCTTATTTATACTCCTGCTCCAAAGAAACATAGAAAGGTAAGGTATCCTAGATATTCATGTGACAAAGAAGACAGTTACCACAGAGGTTATTTGCCAATTAGAAAAAAAAAAAGTGTGAATCATGGGTGAACGTTGTGTGAAAACATTTACAAATATACCCCTATGTCTTTAAATTAGTGCCTAATGAAATTTTATAATTGGGGAAAACAACTTGTGCTTTATTTGAACAGATAATTAAGCAATCTTCTTCTTTTTTTTTTTTTTTTTCAGTTTCGAGTGTTGTTTGCCAACCTGGTGGCCTTCTTCTGGTATACATATCTGTCAAAAACCAGAAAATGATCTGAAATACATATTTTTTTATTTTCAATTATCATATTTAAGAAGTCTAGAGACAACAGAATTTGCTAAACTTCCTCACCAGTTTTTACAGGTCTCCTCCACCCAAAGTTGATCATTCAGTTTGGGCACTTTGATCTGTAGAATTGCCTGCCAGCTACTCAAATATTTTATCAAGGGTAATATTTTCCTGTAGTCAGTTGTGTCGTCACTGCCTCGTCACTGCCTCCCATACACCAATTATTTTTTTTTCCACATTATGGAAATAATCACTACAAGGTGAGCATGACCCTATCATTTGGCTTTGTAATGGCTGCTGTGAGAGAACTTGATGCTCACCACTGGAGGCCTCGGGATATGAGAATTCACGATATGATTCATCTATCCAGGAACCAAGTGGAACTAAATATCTGGCTGGAGTTGGCCTATAATTATTGCCTCTGCACATTCATCAGTAACATAATCAGCAATAATGTCATAATGGTAGGAAATGGTATTACTGCATATTGAAGATCTGCTCACTTGTCCAGGGACTTTTTACCTCGCGCAGTACCTCAGAAACACCTGAAAATGGCACATACTAGTTACAATTTGATGTTCGATCAGCATCATTTACCAATAAATAAGGAACTATCTGATTGGATAGCAGTTAAATTGGTGGTTTAGTCTGACCCAAACACTACTGGTAAGGAAATGATTGCGTATAGGAGCCAAACTATGAAGTGTTATGGTTTTCACCTGGACATCTCTTTAACAAATGTTACAAAACTGAAGCCCCCTGAAATCTTGTGTGCTATATTGTATACTATAATAAATTAAATTAGTTAATAACTCACAGATGATCTTTTACAATTGTAACTAGGCATATGGACCAATTCAATTACACAGTGCATAATAAAGTAATGGGACCCTGTACGCCCAACAATAGATATATAACGTTTTACTAATTTACAATAGGAACAATGGATAATGCTTATCATTTATTATGTTTTGGAATGCAGTTGTTACATGTTAATTTTGTAGTCTTAATCATATATTTGTATACATGTATTTGTCAACCAGATTTATCTCAGGACAGTTGTTTTTACAAGGTTTTCCTACCAGGGGCATGCCTAGGCTCTGGACCCAGTTCTACAAGTGCCTAAGATCCTGAGTGTGCAGCTACTACCTCCTCCAGTCAGAATCTTAACTCCTTGTGAATAAGAACGTTAGGTTGCAAAGGAAAAAAAGAGTCCTTCTGTGTAACATTCTTGTGTTCTGTTTTTACACCTAGTGTTGTGCAAAAAGTATAGTAGATGATTCTCTCTCATACTGAAAGCCAAACAATAGGCAGGTGGAATGTTTCTTATTTACAAAAAAAAAAAAAGATAGAGGCCAAAAAGCATAGGAGCTCTGTACACTATAATTTTTTACCCCGGTGGGGTGGCTAAAGGGGTCCTTTGTAAATGGCCAGGACTCTTGCAATGGCCCTGTGTTCTAAAATGCCTTGCTTACATACACCGTATACGGTTCACATGAGCTGAAGTACCATAGGCATATAGAAGCAGATTTTTTTTTCTATTTGTAAAGATCAGGGGAGAACTGTCTAAATTTAAAAACAAAAAATTAATTCTGCAACTTGAATGATATATAGTGGTGAGTGTTTTCACTTGTTTTTGTACTTATTAAACTAACAGATATTCTCATCAATCTTATTAAAATAAAAATGTCAAGTCTTTTTAAATGTGTTTATAAACAATAAAAATTGAGCACTTTCTATTTTTTTCTTTCTTTTATTTGCCAAATTAAAATAGACCATAGATATGAACTGAATGTTAGCAGTTGTTGGGCTACAATAGTCGAATTGCTAAGGAACAGATACTGTTTGACAACCATTGTGCTGGATGAACAAGTGGGGGTGTATATATACACACACAAAAACACACACCCACACTATATTGCCAAAAATATTGGGCCAGCCCTCCAACTAATTTCATTCAGGTGTTCCAATCACTTCCATGGCAACGTGTATAAAATCAAGCACCTAGGCATGCAGACTGTTTCTACAAATATTTGTGAAAGAATGGGTCGCTCTCAGGAGCTCAGTGTATTGGCATGGTACTGTGATAGGTTGTCAACTGTGCAATAAGTCCATCTGTGAAATTTCCTTGCTACTAAATATTCCAATATTGCTAGTGGTTTTATAACAAAGTGGAAGCAACTGGGAACAATAGCAACTCAGCCACGAAGTGCTAGGCCACATAAAATGACAGAGCGGGGTCAGCGAATGCTGAAGCGCAGTGTGCAGAAGTTGCCAACTGCAGAGTCAATAGCTAAAGACCTCCAAACTTTGTGTGACCTTCAGATTAGCACAACAGTGCATAGAGAGCTTCATGGAATAGGTTTAATGGCCGAACAGCTGCATCCACGCCTTCCATCACCAAGTGCAATGCAAAGCGTCAGATGCAGTGGTGTAAAGCACGCCGTCACTTGACTCTAGAGCAGTGGAGACGTGTTCTCTGGAGTGACAAATGATGCTTCTCTGTCTGTCAATCTGATGGACGTGTCTGGGTTTGGCGGTTGCCAGGAGAACGGTACTTTCCTGACTGCACTGTGCCAAGTGTAAAGTTTGGTGGAGGGGGGATTATGGTGTGGGGTTGTTTTTCAGGGGTTGGGCTTGGCCCCTTAGTTCCAGTGAAGGGAACTCTTAAGGGGTCAGCATACCAAGACATTTTGGACAATTTCATGCTCCCAACTTTGTGGTAAGAGTTTGGGGATGGCCCCTTCCTGTTCCAACATGACTGCGCACCAGTGCACAAGCAAGGTCCATAAAGACATGGATGAGTGAGTTTGGGGTGGAGGAACTTGACTGGCCTGCACAGAGTCCTGACTTCAACCCGATAGAATACCTTTGGCATGAATTAGAGCGGAGACTGCGAGCCAGGCCTTCTCGCCTGATATCAGTGCCTGACCTCACAAATGCGCTTTGAGGCACCAGAGTCCAGCTCTTCTTCCTGCGCTTTGCCCCACTGAAAAACAAAGAACTTGCCCCCAGCAGTGCGGCAGGAGGTGGAGCCTGTTGGCTAGGCAGTCTGATGCTAGAAATCAGATTGCCTGCTTCACAAGTTATGTCTCAATACATCTACCGGAGCTGGGGCGACTGGTCCCAGTACTTTCCTTCTGCCAGTCCTGCATACCACTGGTGCCTGTGAGGACTACAAACTAAGGTCGGGCCTTCAAGATTGTACCTCTGCCTCCTAGTACCCAGCTGCCTCTCTGCCTGCACCTCCAGATTCTCTACCTCCCTGGAACCCAGACCACCTCACTGGCAGACGTGGACCATCCTGCATCCAAACCCAAATCCCTGAATTTTTCTGTCCCCCTTTCCTGGGTCCAATTGTAGCCTTGGGCGTTTAACCATTGCTGTGCCTTACGAACGCTCCATGGAGCTTTTTTCCCTTTGGTGTGACATCCTGTGGCTCTGTGAACTCCTGTTTCTCCTGAGATGAACTAGAGGCCATGGGATGTGTAGCGTGCATAGAGCCATGTACATTACTGAAACTAATGTGTACTTATTCTCAGCTAATTGAAATGAGGGGAAAAGATTAGAGGTTCAGGGGCTCACACAGGACATTACAAGGAGGCAGCAAATATAATAAGAAACAATGTCATGAAAATGAGCTTACAGGACCATAAGTAGTGGATGTGCAAGGATTATTTTGGGAGACTAAAGATATTGTTTAGTGTTACTTTAGATTTTTTACCAGGTGGCTATTCATAGGGTTCTGCAAGCGGCTCTGCAAATTCTGTTTAGCCACTTCTGTTACCCTGTGGGGTTGGTGGGCCTCTTGGCTTTGTTTGTGTGTGTCTGCTGCCCCTCTGTTGGATTGCTTTTGGATGTCCCAATGGAATTAAGACTAGGTCCGGTGTCTTGTGATGTACAGTTACTGTAAGAAGATGGGATTTGTGACCTACCTGTAAAATCATTTGCTTAGAGTATATCAAAAGGACACAGGTCCTTCCCTTCCTTTCTGTGACCCAAAATCTCTGGGTACTTTCATACAGGCATTGAAAATAAGCAGTTGGGTTGCTTTTTTTACAGCGTCCTAACTTCCTATTAATGCCACTCAAAATTGGTAAAATAGGGAGCAGACGGAGGTGTACATACTGCAGCATTAGTGGTGCTTCGTGTCATGGCAAGGCAAAAATTTAAGCTGTGTACAGTTTTGTTAGGTGTACATCAGCATCAAAAGCAGGCATTTCATCTGCTTTTTTGAAGCCTCACGAACAGTCATTACTGTGTGATATTATATACATTAAAGCAGACAGTATTGCTTGCTTGTTCTGAAACTGGATAGATCACAAATGTCCAAAGTGTTGTTATTGCAGAAACTGTCCATAGACAGGGCGATCCTAGGGCGGGGACTGCCCTAGCTATGTCTGTGGACAGTTTCTAGAATATAAACGTGGACGCTTTTAATATGTCCAGTGGTTATAAGCCTTTTTTTCTCTTCCAGTTAAAGAGTTAGCTTGCTTTCCTCACCTGGAGTTTGAGTGGCGCTGGGGCACAGTAGGTTGAGCCGCAACCCTTTGAAGGCAGCATTAAAAGTCAACATCTGTGAAATAGCCCTTTATGGCTTGCTACAAAACTAAAGCCACGCTGGGAGTGGGAGGGGTTATACTGGGCTGTTAGAAAGCAGTGGAGTGGGTCTTCTTTGGGAGGGGTGTAGTGGGTACTGTGGGGAGGGTGTAGGGGTACTTCCCAGTGGGGAGTTTGTTGGCATGCACTGTAACATTGTATTTTATATGTCCAATATTTATATATAAACTCTTTTGATAGCCATAAGAGGTGCTCTATTCGATGTGGTGTTTTTTTTTTTTTGTTTTTTTTTGTCGTTTTACTGGGCTGTCCTTACAGCTTAGCTTGCTAGCGTCTAATTTTCCTGCAGGCTCCAGTATAACCCAGTGATATTATTAGGGCCCGTTCAAATTATGTGCAATTATCTATGTTTTTCCTCATTTTC